GGGGGGGGACACTTCTGATAACATCTTGCTTATCCAAGAATTAATTCAGGGGAAAGGAAGTCGAAAGATGAAAATGTTCTCCTTCGGTCCGCAAATTCATCATTTACTTTGTGTCTTCATTTCTTGCTATCTTGTGCAATATTTGTCATTTAGGTGTGAGACGTGTGGTTCTATCATTAGGATGCCATGCATGTATTGGGCGATTTTATCTTTGCTAGTGGATAGTCTGGGAGAAGATGTTCTGATTTCTTTTCGCAGCGTCTTTTATGTTTCACTTAAGTCTGATGCATATTAAAACGATGTTGCTTTTGATAGTATCCTAGGGGCGATGGGATCCCGAGTTTGTATCTTCTCTCTGGGTATATAGGGGAGGGAGCAACTCTATCTCTAAAAGAGAAGAAATAGGACAACCCTTTTGCCTGTCTCATTTGCTAGACGTGTAACCAATGCTCTCCAGTTTCAGCTATTTTTGTTTGACTCCCAAATTTTATATCATGGGAGTCCTATGGGGGGCCGGTTGTAGCTGAATAGTGGCGCAAGTTCAAAGATCAGTGCTAATATAGCCAGATCTACTGCAATTTGGGATGTTGTCAAAAGTGATGAAAGTTCCTGGGACTAGGCGTCAAAGATGCGGGCAATGGTCAGTTAATTAATGTAAACTTTGGGTTATTAGAGTGTGTCTTCACGTGGCATGGGATTGTGGAACAGAAAAATGATTGTAGAGACTGATTTACAATTGTGGATTCGAAAAAGTACTAACCAAAAGTCGCTCAACACAGCACTACGGATAGCAACTATTACGCACAATCAAGTGATGTCTGGACACTTTGTTAATGTGTTTGCTTGTTTTTCTTGTGAAAATAGCACAACCTAGCCAGTTTTCGAATTGGTAATCGAAAAATAGCTAGAGTTTGCAAAGTAATTGAAAAAATAATCATTGTTTTGTTGAACCACGGAAAGTTCCAGCATAATATGCTGGACTATGGAGCTCCTCCATTTAAATTTCCCGCATATTATGTGAGGAACTCTAGCACACTATGAAATTTCAACATATTACATTGGAATTTCATATGTAAAAAATTCAAACTCCAGCATATTATGTCGGAATTTTTTGGATTTTTAAGGGTATTTTTGTTCAAATAATAATAATTAATTACATGAAAAAGTGGCTAAATTTCGATTATTTTTGAAACTATGATTATTTTCACTTAGCAGTTGTATATCTGGCTATTTCTGATTGTTTTCCGTTTTTCTTCAATGTTTGTCTATGGACCATCTCAGTCCAACCCATGAGGCCGATGACATTTGGGCCGAGTTGAAAAACCCCAGTTTTAAGTAAAAATAGCACGGTATAGCCAGTTTTCGGACTGGTTAATCAAAAATAGCTAGCGTTTACCAAGTCAATGAAAAATAGCCACCGTTTTGCTGCAATAGAGCTCGGTCCAGCATAATATACTGGAGTTCGGTGCACTTGTGTATGAACTCCAGCATATTATGCTGGACCAGTATACTTTGCTGGCTCCAGTATAATATATTGGAGACTGGAGCACTGGTGCTCCAAACTCCAGTATATTATACTGGACCAATATACTTGCTGGAACTCCAGTATATTATGCTGGAGTTCTAATGTATTTATGCTGGAACTCCATCATATTATGCTGGAGTTCCAGCATACTATCCTGGAACTCCAGTATAATATGCTGGAGTTCAAGTATACTCATGCTGGAACTCTAGCATAATATACTGGAGTATTTTCCGGTTTTGAACAGTGTTTTCGCTCAGATTTATCTTTACATAAAAAGTGGCTAAATTTCGACTACTTTTAAAATTGGGCTATTTTTGAACGACCAGTTGTAAATCTGGCTATTTTTTAATTTCTCCCCAGTTTTAAATGGGCTAGAGGTCCAACTACACCCAATTAGTAGGCTGGCTCGGTCAAATTCATTTTGATAACTCTACAAAAAATAGTTAGTGTATGATTCTACAATCACACAGCAATACATTCAATTATGGAAAATCCACTACTATTACAAATTTGTTCTAGCATGACTCTATGTGACTGACATATAGAAGTGCCATACAAAGGACATTCACTAATTGGAAGGTAGTGCACCTTTCGATTTTCTTGATAATGTCCTAAAACAATTAAGACAAACAACTAAATAATAACCGTCTGCACGTAAAATTGGGAGCTGCAGAACGTAATGGTCCGATACAATTAACATGTAAAGACTACTATTTTTTTCTTTTCTGGATGAAAGACTATTACTTTGTACAGTAAATCACCATTTCTAACGAAATGAAGAAGAGTTTACAAACTTGTTTGTTCAAAGTTAGCAAAATAAATGTACCATTTGTATATATTTTTATAATGTTGTTGCTTTTGCAAGAAAAATGTATATACTGGCAGGATAAAAGGCAATATTAACATAATTAAGAAACCTTGATTAGTTAAACCTCCATTGGCACCATTTCGTTAGAAACCTCAGTCAAAAAACATTAAGAAGGCTTCCCAACCATAGTTAAGGAGGAATTCGATCCACTGCATGTATTTTAAATTCATCCACTTAAACCCTTTGTCCCTATTCTCAATTGAAATACAAAGTCGAATCATCACACTATATTTTGAGCCCTTACTGGGATCCATTTCAAAGACATATTTGGGCACGACTTTTGTTTTTCAATACCGAACTAATGTTGGAATTATTCATAATGCAAAATCAAAATTTTTTTTTTGAAATTCCATTTACAATCAATAGCCATGAGTTTTTTATTTTTCAAATGTCCTATTTATTTCCATGTGGCCTCTTGCATGAAGCCTTAAAGCCAAGTGTTGAATGGCTTTGACAATGGCTATGCAAATCTACCATATGTCTTCATGCATGGAAGACAAGATACACTTGTCAATATTGAAGCCAAATGTCTTCATGCATGGAAGACAAGATACACTTGTCAATATTGGAGCCAAGTGGACAAACATAATGAGACAAGTGTCAAAAGTCTCTCGACACTTGTCATATATGCAACCTCCTTAATTTCCTATAAATAGGTTATGAATTAGCCATCATAATCACTCAATTCTTAACCAAGAATACATCTAGCTAATCATTCCTTTCTTCCTAGTCTTCTTTGTGAATTATCCAACACATAAAATACATTCATCTTCTCTTCTTCCTGGGCAACTATTTTGTGCAAATTCTAAACTTCCAGCCACGAGTGCACATGTTTGGAGGTGCTGTGGAACCTTGGGAGCGACCGGCCTTAACGATTTGTACCCAGTCGGGCCGAAATCGCTTTCAAGGCAGTGGCTTGCCACGACACAGTATTTTTGATAAGTTGTAGTCTTCTTTCCTTGTTGTTCTTAGTCAATATTATCTACTGATTTTTCTTACAA